CTGTTATTCTGCAACAAGGCACAGAGCTACATTTTTCAAGGTTGCACACTTCGATGATTAAGCCAAAAATCCTTGCTGAGAAGCAGTGCAGGGGGGTATAAAGGCGTTACTGAGCTGTACGCATGTAATCACTAGGAGTGCCCACTGCAGGAACCGATGGGCGTCTCAGTGGGTAACCTATTAAGTGGAAGGGTTAAATCATGCACTGCTTAGACCATCCTCCTTCCCGTACCCTCCAGTTTGTGGGAACTCTCTGGGAGAGGGATCCTCTGGATTCACACATAGCAGAGTCAGGAATCTGGAATTATTTAATGTCCCCTGAAATTAAAAAGGAATTTTGTGACACTGCCTTGCTATAACTTAGTGTCCTTTTCTCTTGGTGTGGAGTGAGTGCCATCTGGAGGTTAGGAAACATGGAGCTCTGTATGCTTTCATGCTGAAAAACAAAATCCCCATGCTTTATAAATAAAATTTTCTTACGTGAATAGGATCTTGAGCCTGACAGGTACTGGATATCTGCTACTCAGTATAGAGTTTGTGACTCATAGCAAGAGTTGAGGCTGCTCACTATGTCTCAGAGTAAAGCATGAAAGTGTAATGACTTCTCAGTATTATGCAATCACCAGTAAATATGTAGCTGCTGAGTGGCCTGTGCAGTTTTTGGAAGAAGCTGTGGACAGCACAGGGACAAGGAAAGGCTTGATCTGCTCTCTCCTCTCTCTCTTTCAGATGTTCAAAGACAAACCAGTTCCTGGCGCAGTTTACTGCCCACAGGAGAGAGCAGAAAGCATTTTAGCTGAAGAAGAAGATGTCTTTATTTTAAAGAGTAGGGTCCCAATTGATGTGTCTGAATACAGTTGTCCGCCTCAGTTCATGTCTGCACAAAGTGGAGTCAGTCCTCACTTGAACTCACTGCATGATGTGGTCTTCGTTCTTCTCTAGGTAACTTAGCTGTCATCTTGAAAGCCTTAATCCTCCAGTTCTCACTATGTCAAGGAAGCCAGGAGAACTGTTTGGTGCTATTACTTCAGTGAGTGGCTCTTCTTTCTACAGTGTCTTTTGTTTTTTTTTCCAGAGACCACTTGGATGTTGACAGTCATGAAACTGTTCCATACCACCTCTTGTCTTTTTGAACTGCCTTCTGCTGCTGAAGTCTAGTCATAAAAAAAAAATAGCTTTGGTTGCAAAGCAAGGACCACACATCTCCACCTCCATCTGGTGAGAGGTTGCAGCCTGTTGTATTGAGGCAATGCTAATGCCTTCTGCGTTGATCTCCAGCTAGCACTGAGCATGATCCTACAGAAGCTACATACAGTTCAAAAGGCAGACACCATTTGATTACTGCTTTTTCCTATGTAGCGGAGATTCATGAGTGAACAGGCTTTAGGTATTATGTTGATTTAGCTTGATGATGGTTTCCCTGGGCCAGCACAGATTTTAGGAACTATAAACCTGTTAAATTCAAGGTTGATGATCCTAAGAGTGTAAGACAGATTGCCGAGCCAATATGCCTTCAGAGCAAAATGTGAAAGCCTGCTTCCTTATCAATGAGTTTCCATCAGCTGAATCAAAAAAAAATAAAAGAGTAAGAGAAGGGAATTTGAGAGCAGCAAATCTAAAGAAAGAAAAATGGAAGCTAGTGTAAAAAAAATCTGGTCTCCCCCCCTCAGCAGGGAGGGGTGAAAAAGCGCAGAGCATGTCTCATGTGCCTTAAACTTTATTCTTTAGAGCAAGTTTAAACATGCAGATGATAGAGGCTAACTACGTGAAATGCAACAAGCTGCTGCATTCAGAATTGAATTATGTTCTTTATGTTGGGATTTGTCTGAGTGGGTCTCCATTAGTTGCTTGTTTTCAAGAGATAAAAATTCAGGAGGAAATTGCCTTTTGGCTGTAATCTTCTTTGTTCTGACGTTAGTGGGAACCTTAATGTGAACTTGCATGGGAAGATGGATGAGATCTGTAGCGCTAACTCTCTGTGTATGGCCCAGTCACCCCAAATACAAAGATGATTGTCTCCTAGGACCACATCCGTCTTTGCTCTTCAAAGAAAATCCATGCTAGACAGTAGTACTGGTCTCTCTGAGAAGAAGATTGAGGAATTTTTTACATGCTGTGGAGTCTCTTGGCTAGAACCATTCAACTTGCTTTGTTACTGTTGTGTTTTTACTGAAGCACTAGGAAGGCTGAAGCTCACCCTCAAGTTTCCTCTTTCGTGCTCCGCTGCTGAAGAAGTAATCCATGTTTACCAGAGCCCTGCCAAATTCAGTGTTCATTCGACTGCCAATAGTCTGGTTGGTCGAGTTGGGCAGTGTGCTTGAGAACACAGGCATATAGTTTGGCAGTGGCTTCTGCTCCTTTTTCTTACCCTGGATAAAATAAAAAACATTAGTAAGTTTTCAGAGTTACATCCGTTGCTTGTTACAAAAATACAAGTTACTGAGATTATTTACAGTACTGGCACTTTCACTTTTGAAATTAGAATTTGAATGTACTTAAAAATGTCATCCTGAATATACACAGAAGTGCTGAAGAAATGAAGTAAAAGGATTTTTTTTTCCTGTTGTCTCGCATGACAATAAGATAAAACAGGAAATTTAATAATTTTCAAATATGTTGCATAAAATGTCAGCTGGGACAGAAGTTAGCCTGCTCTAGAATGGTCGGCATGTAGGAGGTTTTTTGTTTCGTTTTTAGTAAGTGGCCTGGATTTCAGCATGATGACATTGTCTTACAAATTTTCTCCTAGGAAGTTGGCTCTTCTAGCACTTGTCTTCCCATGGAGTTGTTAATACTGAAACAGAGTGAACACACGCATGCACCATATTTCTTCATGGCATAGGCAGCAGATGAAAGGCACTTCAGTTCTCTTTTATAGAACCATAGAATCATTAAGGTTGGAAAAGATGTCTGAGATCATCCAGTCCAACCACCAACCCATCACCACCATGCCTACTAAACCGTGTCCTGAATTGCCACGTCTACATCTTTTTTTGAACACCTCCAGGGATGGTGAATCCACCACTTCCCTGCGCAGCCTGTTCCAATGCTTCACAACTCTTTCGGTAAAGAAATTTTTCCTACTATGCATCTAAACCTCCGTTGGCACAACTTGAGGCTGTTTCCTCTTGTTCTATCACTTGTTACTTGGGAGAAGAGACCAGCACCCACCTCACTACAACCTCCTTTCAGGTTTATTTTTCCTAAAGATTTTAGTCTTAAAATATTTGCTGATTATGCCTAAGTGTGCTACAGTTTGAAATATTAGCCTAGCTCAAATTGATGAAAACTAAAAAGATCGTGGGTTACAGTTGAACATTTGTTCAGAACTTACCATTTGGTCATAGTCCTTTAGGAAACTCCAGTTCTGGTACCTTGGAAAAGAAGTAAAAAATGCAGTGTAAAATTTTCTGTCTTTAAATAAAATAGTTAATGTTGGTCATATTTGAACACCTATTTAGCTGCTCAATTTGATAGTTACAGCCCTTAACACCTGCAAACTCTTTGTACTGAAACCTGTGTTTTCTGTGATGAAGGCCAGGGTTTTCTTTATTCTCACGTAGAGCCCATACTACATGAGGAGTGGGTTTTTTTTTGCTAAAGGAAGATGGTGATAGCATGTCCACAGCATATTGTTTGTGCAAATGCAGAGAAGTTAGCAAAGTCTTCAGTCACTCTAGGAAACTTTTGTCCCATGCCTTGAGCAAGACACAGCTGCTTATTTTTTGAATGACCGATACTGTGCTGGCAGAAGTCCCTGGTAGGAATTCCTGGAGCTGCATTTGCTGCAGGCAAACACCCACAGGAGCATATTGTGCAGACAGGCAGCTGTGCTAGAAGCAAATTGAGTCAGGAGACCTGAGTTTTGCTCTTCAACTCTCTTCTATAGCTGGTGTGGGACTACAGGACAAGTCCTTTGATTTTCTGTCTGTTGCTTTCTCTGGCTTGAAATGGAGAAAATGAAAGTTCACCCGCTATTGTAAAACTACCGTGAGGTCCATAGAGAAAACTGTTATCTACAGCTGTATTTGCTCAAGGGACACGCAGATGGACTCTCTGAGCTGGTGATCTGTGTGCGTGCAGTGCTGCTCTAAGCTCATTGACCTAGTGCTGAAGCTGCACATCCTTCTGAGCTGAGCTCGTCTGTACAGCACAGCCATGTGCCACATGGAGCTAGGAGCTTTGGACTTCTGTGCTGCACTCCCCTGTCCGGTGCATACATGCCCTAAGTGCAAATAAAAGCTGATTTATGCTTGTTATGTTTCTCACTATATATCTTCGTATACCAGCACAGTGTAGAGTTCCTAACGTTTTTTATCTTGCTATGCCAGCCACTATTTGAACGTATCAGATCTGGGTGTTACTGGGTGGTGCCAATTACTGAGAAATGCTCGGGTCTCAGACATTTACCTATATCCATTTCAAGTCAGACCACCAACATACAGCAGCCTTTCCCCATCATTGTTTTTGGGGTGGGGATGTGGAGCTGAAGGACAGTTCTCTGCAGGCATGTGTAGTCTGATGCATCCAGCTTTAGGCATCTGTCCTTCACATGTCTGTCCTACACTTTTACAAGAGGTTCTGTCTTTGTAGCAAGGATTGGAGTGCAGGACATGCATCAGTTGCAGGAAGCGTTATCTTACTTCCCCCTGGAAGTGAGTTTGTACTGTGATCCATGACTGTGAACCCCGGGGGGGCAGGCACAGACAAAGAGTCCCGCCTGCTGCCTTAGCTAGGGAATGAGTACAGAACGTGCTGGGCCTGTTTGGGAAGAGTCGGAGTGCCCAGCTGGGAGGGAGTAACATTTCTACCATGTCCTTGGCTTTGCATGAGTCAAGAGTCCCGGCATCAGCCTTTCCCTCAGGTAAAAGGAGCCAGACAACAGTGCAAATGCATCTCTGGGGAAATCCAAGGTGTGATTTGTATCTCCTCCAGAAGGCTGAGGGGAACAGGAGTTTTCATGGATAAATGCCAGGTGCCCACCAAAACCGCTCTATCACTCCCCCTCCTCAGCTGGACAGGGGAGAGGAAATATGATGAAAGGCTCGAGGGTCAAGACAAGGACAGGGAGAGATCACTCACCAATTACTGTCACAGAAAAAACAGATGGAACTTGAGGAGAAAAGGGAGTTTAATTCATCATCAATCAAATCAGAGTAGGATAGTGAGAAATAAATCCAGATCTTCAAACACCATCCCCCCATCCCCTCCCTTCTTCCCGGGCTCAGCTTCACTCCTGATTTCTCTCCCTCCTCCCCCCAAGCGACACTAGGGGACGGGGAATGGGGGTTTCGGTCAGTTCATCACATGTTGTCTCTGCTGCTCCTTCCTCCTCAGGGGGAGGACTCCTCACACTCTTCCCCGGCTCCAACGTGAGGTCCCTCTCATGGGAGGCAGTTCTCCACAAACTTCTCCAGTGTGAGTTCTTCCCACTGGCTGCAGCCAGCATGAACTGCCCCATTGTGTGTCCTTCCCACGGGGTGCAGTCCTTCAGGAACAGGCTGCTTCAGTGTGGGTCCCCAAAGGGTCACAAACCCTGCCAGCAGACCTGCTCCGGCGTGGGCTCCTCTCTCCACAGGTCCACAGGTCCTGGCAGGAGCCTGCTCCAGCGCAGGCTCCCCACGGGGTCACAGCTTCCTTCAGGCATCCACCTGCTCTGGCGCGGGGTCTCTTCCATGGGCTACAGGTGGAGATCTGCTCCACCATGGACCTCCATGGGCTGCAGGGGGACAGCCTGCCTCAGCATGGTCTTCATCACGGGCTGCAAGGGAAGGCTCTCTGCTCCGGCATTTTGGGCACCTCCTCCATCCTCCTTCTTCACTGACCTTGGTGTCTGCAGAGTTGTTTTTATCACTCCATCTCACTCCTCTCTCTAACTGCTGTCTCTCCTGCAGAGTTTTTTTCTTCCTTTTCTCAAATATGTTATCCCAGAGTCGCTACCACTGTCGCTGGTTGGCTTGGCCTTGGCCAGCGGTGGGTCCATCTTAGAGCCAGCTAGCACTGGCTTTTATCTGACACAGGGGAAGCTTCCTATAGCTTCTCACAGAAGCCACCCCTATAGCCCCCCCTCCTACCAAAACCTTGCCACGCAAACCCGTAACAATATGGTTTCTTCTCTCTAAAAAATCCAGAGAGTGATGTTCTTTTTCCCCCCTTCCCTTTAGCTTGGCTGGTGCGCTGTTGAAACTGGATCTGATTTTACTTTTACCGAGGATATTCTTCTAATAGACATGCTCATGCTGTGTACTGAAGTATGAACATAAACACTTACTCAAGGTATGAGACGGAGAGGATCTTAATTTTGGGTTCCTTCAGGTCACTGGTGTATAGGCAGAGTTGTGTGGTTGTATGTGTGTGGTTCAGTCTGCTGAAACACCGTGACAACGGGGCGTGTTC